GGCGACGGAGATATTGTTCTACAGAAGGATGCTGAGGATATCATGGACCGAGCGTTTGAGCAACGATGAGATCTTGGAGAGGAGGCTCATACTTAGCATAAGGAAGAGGCAGATGAAATATCTGCGACACTTAATGAGAGAGCAGTGCTTGGAGAATCTGATACTCACAGGTCGAAAAGAGGGAAAGAGAGACAAAGGAAAGCAAGGAGGGTTAAGCAAGTGGATAACAGAATGTGGCCTGGGGGAGGTGGCAGAAGGACGAAACTTACTGAGAGCTACAAACGATAGGGGGAAGTGGGGAGCCATGATCGCCTACACCCAGAAAAGTAATGGTACATAAAAATAAAAAAAAATTATTTGGTATCTGACCTTATTTGGGATGGGGGTTAATCTGCGTGGGGGGTTTAATATAGGCCACCACATTATCACTTATAATCGTGTTCTAGACAGGTCTAAACAAATTTATATCAGTGGCAATGCGTTATGGCGTGTGATTGTTTAATCAGATGCGACAGATATCCCGATTCGATTATAGAGAAATCGAATGTAACACTTTGTCCTATGAATTTTTTTTCTAGTCTCTAACGATAATTCTTCTTTGAAATTAATAAAACATAATTCTAAGACTCTCTAAATAAACCCCTGGAGTTGCAAAGAGTGATTTGATTCTTTTGGCCGAGATGAATTCACGAGGGTCAATTTACACCGACATGAAGCAGAATGATTATAATGAATCAATTGCCAGGCATTTCTTCTTACCAGTCTTCATTCGTCCGTTCACTGAACATGGCTGCCACATCGGGTCTGGTGTTCCTGCTATATATCTGGAGATATTGATAGAAATTAAAAGAAGGGTGTGTAATGTAATCAATCCTGACCTGGCATCTCAACTGCAGTCAATTTATCACCGATATGACATGGCTTTTCTCTGCCATATTAATAACATTAGGCCCAGTGATTTTCAAAGTTTTTAAGCAGTGGCACATAATCCTATGGCTGTATGAATAAACCTCTGAGTTTGCAGAGTGATTCGATTCCTTTGGCCGAGATGAATTCACGAGAGTCAATTTTCACTGACAATGGAGCAGAATGATTCTATTGAATCAATTGCCAGACATTTCTTCTCATCAGTCTCCAATGTGTCAGCATTGAACATGGCTGACACATTATATATATATATATAGGAAGAAATATTGTCTTAAGATGTGTTATATTTATGAGATAAAGTGCTCAACATCAGAGATAGAGCGTGTGTAAATATAAAATGAACATAGAAGTCAACACTTTGAGGCGACAGTCTGTTTCATTCTAGACGCAATCATCAGGCCATAGCATGAAACAGACTGTCGCCTCTAAGTGTTGACTTCTATGTTCACTTACTTATATATATATATATATATATATATATATATATATATATATATATATATATATATATTTGGTTGAAATGATGTGATTTTGTGACCCTGGCTTTCACGCTTTTGCGATCGTCAGACAAAGATTTTGGCTCTATCTCTGCTACTGAGCGCTTTCTAATAAGTACCGAGCATATAATATATATATAATAATATATATAATAATATATATATATATATATATATATATATATATATATATATATACTTTAACATATATATATTTATATGCATACATTTTAACATATATATATATATATATATATATTTCAGTTATGAAATTTTGTGCGATAATCTTAAGTGGCACTTAAGACCCGCTAGTGATTTACAACAGAGACCGAATATGGAACAGGATTGTAGGATGAGATCACTGTTAGATTGGCTGACCATTTAGATCTTGCTCTCGCTTCTTGAAGACAATTCAGACAAGCTGGTAGAAAACTGCTGAGTTCACTAAAACACGTTGATCTCCATTCTACCAATATATATATATATATTAACATTAGACATTAAAAATATAAAGAACTCCAATAAATTATGGATTAAAGCCGACAATTCCAAAAATGTCTATAAAATTGAACCCTTTGAATATGACAAACTCGTCAATGACAAAATTACCAGCTCTTATAAAAAAAAGACAAAGACAATAGCACCTTATCATTTATCAATGAAGACATCTGCAAATTTACTAACAAATATGGACTTGCTGACAGAATGGGCAAATTTAATATGAAAGATGCATACATTCCCTTTAAAGATCACAAGCCGAACTTTATCAATAGCTTGCAATCCCGTCTAATTAATCCCTCCAAATCTGAGTTAGGATTAATTTCCAAGTGTATTATCAAGAAAATAACATCATGTGTCCTGGATAAATACCCAGTCAACCTTTGGAAAGACTCGGCAGAGACGATTAAATGGTTCCGACAGATCCCCAACAAAAGAAGAGCCACTTTCATCCAATTTGACATCTTGGATTTTTACCCTTCTATTTCGGAGGATCTATTAATTAACAGCCTTAATTTCGCTAAAGGATATACCGAAATGATCTGGACATTATTTTAGCATCAAGAATATCAATACTTACATACAATAACGCTACTTGGGTGAAGAATAATAATGAAAGTTTCGATGTACCTATGGGAGCTTTCGATTCTGCCGAAATTGCAGATTTAGTGAGTATATATATTCTAGACACCTTGAGTAGAGTAGTTAGCCTTAAGCAAGTCGGAATTTATAGAGATGACGGCCTAATCTTTGTCCCTAATAGCAATGGTCCCTTAAATTCCAGCTTACATAAGATAATTAGGGCTTTCAAATACCTGGGCCTTAAGATTGAAATATCTTCCAACTTGAAAATAGTTAACTTTTTGGATATTACACTCAACCTATCTAATGATACCTTTAAACCCTTTTATAAAGTTGATCAAACACCACTATACACCAACGTCCACTCTAACCACCCTAAATCTCTGATAGATCACATCATCAAAACTGCGAATACGAGAATAAATAAATCTTCTTGCCGAAAAATATTTAACGATAATAAATTTATATACAATCAGGCCCTCAAAAATAGTGGTTTTAGACAAGAATTAAACTTTAACGGAGAACTTGTAAATCAGAATAATAATAGAACTAAAAACAGAAAGAGGAAGGTAATATGGTTCAATCCACCATATTGCAGGCTCTCTAACATTGATATAGGAAGTTTCTTTCTGAAATTAATTGACAAACACTTTCATAGTAAACATCCACTACATAAAATTTTCAATAGGAAGACACTGAAAATTAGTTACTCATGCGTTACAAATATGGAGAAAATTATTTATTCCCATAATTGTAGAATACTTAGAAGCTACTATAGTAATGAAACTCAAACTAGTAACCCTACCTGCAATTGTAGGAATAAAGACCTTTGTCCATTTGGGGGTAAATGTATGTATGAAAATGTAGTATACGAGGCAACAATCTTCTCCGAGGAAAATATAAACCAGAAAAAAGTATATATAGGTATATCCACCGGTGACTGAAAGCAGCGTCTATACAACCATAGACGGTCTTTTAGATATAGATACCTCAAAAATCAAACTTCCTTATCCAAACACTACTGGGATCTGGGGGATAAGGGACTAACCCCACTTTTCGAATGGAGATACTTATCAAGAGCTAGAACCCGTAATAACTTCCGCGATTGGTGTGATTTCTGCATAGCGGAAAAAAAAAATTATGATTAAAATAAGAATCAAGATGACTTGCTAAATCTTTGTAGCGAGATATTTTCTAAATGTAGGCATAAGAAACGATTCAAAACATAAACTGTTGCAGTTTTTTGTATATATTATGTACTAGTAAGGCAGTCCAAATGACTTGACTCACTTTATAGTCCACCAATGGAAGGTTAACCAATCAGAAGACGTAGAACATTCAATCCGTCGTGTATAAAAGCGGCCATTTTGTCTACTCTACAACCGAATGTCCAGTCCAGCTTGACAGGCGAAGAGAAACAGAAGGACGAACTACGCTCTGCTACTTTTACCAAAATATCCACTGCTAACCTGAACAACGCTTTCCTACTGTCTTCGAAATATTCACTGCTAACCTCTGGATTCTATACTCGAAGACGACCGTCATCATGAATAACATTGGTTATGAGCGCAGACTACGACTATATTTTGACGGGGATGAATCGAGATATGAATTATGGGAGACGAAATTCTTAGGCTACCTCAGAATACAAAAACTCCATGACATCATCCTTTACGAAGAGGACCAGAAGGGGGATGATGATTTTATGGAAAAAAATGCAACCGTGTTCGCTGAATTAATACAATTCCTGGATGACCGGAGTTTGTCTTTAATAATGAGAGAGGCTAAGGACAATGGACGGCGAGCTCTAAAAATTTTGCGTGAACACTACTTGGCAAAAGGTAAGCCTAAAATTATTGCTTTATATACTGAACTAACCGCATTAAAGAGACGAGAAAATGAATCTGTAACAGATTATATTATACGAGCTGAGAATGTCACAAATGCCTTAAAAATTGCAGGTGAGACTATCTCAGATGTGCTGCTAATAGACATGGTCTTAAAGGGTTTGCCACCGACATTCAAACCATTCACTACAGTCATAACTCAAAAAGATAAACAATTAACTTTCACTGAGTTTAAAATGGCGTTACGTAGTTATGAAGAAACTGAAAAATGTGTACCCCCAAAATCAAGGCAATAACATAATGCAACTGAGAACGTCATTTAAAAAATTCAGAAAACCAGTCCTTCAAACTGATCAGACTAGGAATTATGATATTAAGAACAAGGGCCTTAAAAACAATTATTACAAGAACTATAACAGAAATAACAATACTAAAAGAAATATCGTTTGTTTTCATTGTGGTAATGTCGGCCATGTCCGTGCAAAATGTCAATTTTATACACGGAATGATTTTTGTAAAAATGTAAAAACTTCTTCGAAGGGACCAGAGCTAATAATTTAGTTTTAAAAAGAAGCGATGCCTGTATTTATCTGCGAGATACTAAAGGAAATATTTGTAAATGTTTATGAAAAAAGGCTTTACATATTCC